ATTCGCTGAAGGTCATACAGGTTTACGCACCAACCTCGGCACACCCCGATCAGGAGGTGGAGGAAATGTATGAGGATATATCTAGAGCCATGCATTCCTCCAAAACCCAATATACGGTGTTAATGGGAGACTTCAATGCAAAACTAGGCACAAGAGAGAACGGTGAGCTGAAAGTAGGGAAATTTGGAATAGGGCAACGGAACCCAAGGGGCCAGCAGTTGGCTGACTTCATGGAGAAAGAGGGACTCTTTATGATGAACTCTTTCTTCCAGAAGCGGCCCCACAGGAAGTGGACCTGGTCGAGCCCCGACGGTTCGACAAAAAATGAGATTGACTTCATTATGACGACCAGACGACAACTGTTCAGTGATGTCTCAGTGATCGCGAGGGTGAAAACCGGCAGCGATCACCGAATGGTTAGAGGCACACTGAACCTAAACGTTAAGTTGGAGAGGTCTCGTCTAATGAAGTCAACGCTCCGTCCCCCTCGTGCTCTAATCCAAAGTCCCGAAACCTTTCAGCTCGAGTTACAAAACCGTTTTCAGTGCCTAGAAGACTGCAATGAAGTGGACGATTTGAATGACAAGCTCGTGGAAACTGTCCATGCGGTCGGAGCTAAGTTCTGCAAGACCCGCCGCAGAAGAACACAAAAACTCTCCGATCACACTCTTAATCTCATGGCTGTTAGACGGGAGATGAAGCTACATTCTTCAACAGATTTAACAGCATACAGGCAACTGAACAGACAGATCTCCAAATGCATGCGGCGGGACTTACGCAACTTCAATACAGCTCGTATTGAAGAAGCGATCGAGCGGAACCAAGGCTCCAAAGTCTTTGCCAGAGATCTGTCTGCCAGAAAGCGCCAACTGTCAAAGCTGAAGACGGAATGTGGCAGCATCGTTTCCGGGGCACCTGAGATTTTGAGTGAGATTGAGAGGTTCTATGGGCAGCTGTACACGTCATCGTTGGAGCCGCACACAAGTGTGAGTAACGATCCAAGAGCGAGTCTTATCCGACATTATTCCGATGATATCCCGGACGTCAGTCTGAGCGAGATTAGAATGGCTCTCCAGCATCTTAAAAACGGCAAGGCCCCAGGCGAGGATGGAATTACAGCGGAGCTTCTGAAAGCGGGTGGAAAACCGGTACTTGAAGTCCTTCAGAAGCTCTTTAATTCCGTCCTCCATGGTGGCATTACACCGGAGGCGTGGAGCGGAAGTGCGGTGGTCTTGTTCTTCAAGAAAGGCGACAACGCTCTCTTGAAGAACTACAGACCGATTTCCCTTCTGAGCCGCGTCTACGTGCTGTTTTCGAGAGTCATTACGAATCGTCTCGCGCGCAGACTTGACGACTTCCAGCCTCCCGAACAAGCCGGTTTCCGAAAAGGCTTTAGCACCATAGACCACATACATACCCTTCGGCAAATTGTACAGAAGTCCGAGGAGTACAATTTGCCACTATGTCTGGCGTATGTGGACTATGAGAAAGCCTTTGATTCCGTCGAAATTTGGGCGGTGCTGCAGTCCCTTCAGCGATGCCAAGTTGACTGTCGGTATATCGAAGTGTTGAAGTGCTTGTACAGTAGGGCTACGATGGCTATCCGAGTACAGAACCAGAGTACGAAACCTATCCAATTGCAGAGAGGTGTAAGACAGGGTGACGTCATATCCCCGAAACTCTTTACCGCTGCATTGGAAGATGTTTTCAAGCTTCTGGACTGGAAAGGATACGGTATCAACATCAATGGCGAGTACATCACTCACCTTCGGTTTGCCGACGATATAGTCCTTATGGCAGAATCGCTGGAGGACCTAAGCACTATGCTCAATGACCTCAATAGTGTTTCCCAACGGATAGGTCTTAAGATGAACATGGACAAAACAAAGATCATGTTTAATGTCCATGTCACACCTATGCCGGTAGTTGTTGGGAACACTAAGCTCGAAGTTGTTGACGAGTATGTTTACCTGGGACAAATAGTCCGACTAGGTAAGTCCAACTTCGACCGAGAGGTCAATCGACGGATTCAACTCGGTTGGGCAGCGTTCGGGAAATTACGGCACATCTTCTCGTCAGGTATACCTCAAAACTTGAAAACGAGACTGTACACCCAGTGCGTGTTGCCAGTGATGACATACGGAACTGAGACGTGGTCCTTCACTGCTGGCCGGATGAGGAAGCTCAAGGTCGCTCAGCGAGCTATGGAGAGGGCTATGCTCGGAGTTTCTCTGCGTGATAAACTCAGAAATGAGGATATCCGCAGTAGAACTAGAGTGACCGACATAGCCCAACGGATTAGTAAGCTGAAGTGGCAATGGGCCGGCCATATAGCTCGAAGAACCGACAACCGATGGGGAAGAAAGGTTCTCGAGTGGCAGCCTCGTACCGGCAGGCGAAGTGTAGGGCGTCCCCCCACTAGATGGAGTGACGACCTGGTAAGATATGCAGGAAGTCGATGGATGCAGGTGGCTCAGGACCGTGCTTTGTGGCATTCTTTGGGGGAGGCCTATGTTCAGCAGTGGACTTGTGAAGGGCTGTAATGATGATGATGATGATGATGATGATTTTTATACGTTAGGAGACTACACCAATATGTCTAGTATCTTGGAGACATTACATATACATAACTATAATTAATACGATACGACACGATACGATACGGTACGATACGATACGATACGATCCTCTTACCTATTTCAATCGCCAAATAGTATAGTAGCCACTTACTATAAGTTGCACTGTAAGTTCATTTGTTACTTGAATTTTATAAGAAAAAAATTGCACGTGGACAAACATGCATAGATCTAAAACAATAAATCATAGGCCATACAATCACCTTTTCCGTGCGTTTTTTATAGAAATGACGGTGACAAAGGAGCATGCAGTTCACCCGATGCTAGATGGACGCCTAAATCTATTCTCGATTAAGAATCAAAATTGTGGCCCCTGAGAAATAAGATGGAATGCTTCATTATCCGTAAACAAGACTAATGGTCAAACACTGATTTAAAAAAATCTCGACTGCTTAAAACGATTTCTATTAAGACATATTAAAGTTTTGTACGGGAGGAATATAAAGTTAATTTTTTTTGTAAAATATATTTAATTAATCAAAGTATGCACCGTTGTTATCTATGAACTTTTGCCATCTCATAGGTAGTTCATTGATTTACTAAAAAAAACCTTGGGGGCGAGAATCAATAAACTCTTTGAAGGCGGTTTGGACTGCCGCATCAGAGTTGAATTTTTTTCCTTGTAAGAACTTGTCCAAATTCCGGAAAAAATGGTAATCTGTTGGAGCAAGGTCCAGGGAGCACGGTGGATGTCGCAGACATTCCAATTGTAGCTCATTTAACTTAGTGGTTGTTTGTTGTGCAGTGTGGTCTTGCATTATCGTGAAACAGCAGTGGCCTAGAGCGATTGACCAATCTCGGTTGTTTAACAGCTAGTTCTTCCTTCATGGTTTGCAGTTGCTGACAATAGATATCTGCCGTAATCGTTTGGCCAGATTTTAGAAAGCTGTAGTGAACGACACCGGCGCTAGTCCACCAAACACTCATAAGTAACTTTTTCTGAGTCAATTTTCGTTTAGGGCAGGATTTGGCTGGGTCTCCAGGGTTCAGCAGCAGTGTTTGCAAGTTCGATTCACTCCATTCATGAGGTACCATCGTTCAAGGTTTTTACTTTCCCGATTTGCTTCAAATGGATTAATACAGTTTATCACTTACCCCGAAGCCTACAGCTATCTCTAAAGTGCTTTGTGATGGATCCACTTCCACAATAACCTTTAATTCTTCATTTTCCACTTTGGTCTCCGGCCGTCCACGGGGTTGGTTCTGAAGGTCGAAATTTCCAGAACGAAAACGTTGAAACCAAAAACGTACCGTGCTTTCTATTGCGACACCAGCGCCGTACACATCATTAATCCTTCGAGCTGTTTCTGCAGCACTCGTGCCACGGTAGAACTCGTACTCGTAAATATATCGATATTTCATGTTTTCCATTGTGCGGTAATAAGCGACGTCAAAGAAAAAATTAGTGAGGAAAAAACAAATGAATGACTGTTTTCAAAACACAAATGTACCAGCTAAATGAATTTATAAATTTGAATTTGGAATTCTTAACCAAAGAGGAGATATTTCAGAGCAAAGTGGTCATTACGACAAAACGCTAATTTCATATGTAAGGACCTAATATATCTTTATTAAGGCTTTGTTAAAAGTTATGAAAATTGAAGTGAGAATGGTTGCCCACAAACTTTAAATCAGTATAGATCTTAAACGTTCATTCAAAATGAAAAATGATTTGAAAAACCTAAAGATGATTTTCAAAAACTTATTCAAAACACATTATTCTACTTTTCGTCGCGTAGACAGGTAAAAAATATCTTCCGTTCTCTTCACTAACAGCGGCATTATGCTGCTATTTCTTGCAGGTTGTAGATTGCAAGCTCATCTTCTTTTTCAGTTTCCCTCTATCGCGTCTTATGATACCCACGGAACCACGTAGAGTAGTGGATTCTGAATATATTTATTAATTATTAACCCTGTGGAACTACGAGATGATTTGGTGTAGTGGATATTCTTACGCCGCTACTACTTAGTAACATATATGCGAGTACATTCTTATATTATATAAAAATTAATATATAGCTGGGATTTCTGCTAACTGTGAATTTGATTTAAAAAATGATTATTGCTTTATCAACTTTAAGACAATATGGATGATTAATAAGAATTTTAATGTCACATTGTTTGTCTGTGGTGAACTCCAAAATAACTAAACTGATTTCGATGAAATTTTGCACACTGTGTGCAGTTTGGTCCAACTTGAGACATAAGAGAGTTTTTATTCCGATAAGTGACTCTCAATATTTTTTTACGAATTTAAGAAGTTTTTATAAGTCGAAGGGTCATAGGAAAGGGCAGAACAACTCTGCCTGGCAATATAGTTAAAATTATAAACAAGAGTTATAATGCTTCCTTTTTTCAACACAGGTCGGCAGTGACGGCAGTGTCATGGCATCCTCAATCGGGGCTTCTGGCGTCGGTGGACCGCGGCAAACGCGCGCTCATCTGGGGCGATTTGTGACACGCCTGGGACCACGCATCGCAACCGCCGTCGGCCGCACAGGTGCCTATTGAATCAAAATTAAGTTATAAAGAGTGGGATTCGATCTGTTCTCCTTATCAACACCCTACTCGGTGACCACTTGTGAAAGTTATGGCGTATATGCGAGCTTTCCAAAGCTTCCGTGAAATACCGCCAACTTCAGGTAGTTGGATGTGTTCCTATGAATTTCTCGGTATAAGATCTTATACCGAAAACTTCTTGGTAGACTTCTCACATGATCAGCAGCCTTGCTTACGACCACTAGATTAACGAGGCAGCAGTCAATACAGATGTAATGAAGTTACTGTGGATACGATGTGATCATTTATTGTTTAGTTAGTATGCGAAATGTAAACTTTCATTAACGCACGAACGTACAGAGACAAAAGGTATCCTTTTAAAAACATTCAAAACGTGTTGAAATATGGATTTTGAAAAATCGACTCATTACAACTACTTATTCAATTGAAGATTTTATAAATTAAGTTACGTTAAGATCTAGGTAATAAATGGATTTCAATTAATTAAAAGATCCTCTTAATAAATTTATTATTATTAGGAATTAATTAGCTTATCATAAGCTAATTAATTTATAGCATCTATAATATAATGGAATTCACGTCTGATTCTATTAATTAACTACTGTCTTTTATTATTTAAAGAAATACACCAATAAATTATTTAGAGATGTTTCACGGAACTATCATAATTGATTCGAGCTTACAACATCAAAGTTTGCGCCCTGAGCCTAAACATCAAACTGATGTCGCTTGTTTATGTCAACGGCAACTATAATTTAATGTACGAACGTGTAGGTTATATACAAACACTATAAATTCTCAATTCTCTCTAAATACGGGAATTCGTGTAGGCAATAGTAATAACAATATATTTCTTATTTAAATTAAAAGTATACAATTTGAACTAAATTATTGTGGAATGATCTAATTACAAACTAAAATTTTCTTAACCTATATTTAAGTGCTTTAACAAACAGTTCCTTAATAAAAAATAATTCTTGCATAGTTACGTACTTATCATCTAATAATAATATAAAAAATAGTTTTTGTTTTTTCACTGCCATACTGTTCATCAGATTGCGCTAAAACCACATAATAAATTTTTTACATTTATTATGTTACATTTTCTTATAACTTTTCTTATAAAAACCAAAGCCTTGTTTGCATAGATGACTCCGTGATACGATATCTCTTCGTCAGTCAATCAAATAATAAAGGGTTAAAAGGGCGCTGCTTTATTGAAGCCATTTTGACAGATAAAATAATAGTAAATATTTTAGTCGATTTTAGTATTGTACAGTGTAGTTAGTTTTTTAAGTTGATTATTCAAAGTGTCCCTAATTATTGCCAAAGCTTGTTTACTATGTTAATATATAGTTATAGTATACGACTTTGTGTTTTTGTCTCTGTCTTCCTCCTAGTTTTCGATTTATAGTGCCGCAAAGCTTAAGGTGACCACACTACCCTCACATACCTTTAATACAAGAAGTGCTAAAACTTTGTCAATTTATTGCTTTCACTTATGCGAAGGTTAGGGGCATATTACAATTAACTTACAACAGGTGTTGCGCGTATCGTACCGAAAAATTTATTTGAAAATTATATTTTATTCAACTTTAATGAATGTATCATCATTCCTAATGAAACAATATAACTCTTCCAAATTTAAAACACTAGAGTAGTATAATATAATTTTTGAATCGAATCCTTTGTGGTGATATTAAATAACGATTGCATCTAAACATATGGATTACCCATGCAACTTTGATTTCATTAGAAGTAAAGACTAAAAATGAGTTGGGGAGTGACTCGAACTTTCAGCCTAGTCGGTTCGAATAAACTGTCATATAGAGGATGTCATGCAGGTCATGATTGAATAGGGGCAAAAAGTTCTCATTACACTCCTAGGGGGTCAAAATGGCCAAAAACCAAAAAATTGGGGGGTGACTCGAACTTTAGGCCTAGTCATTTTGAATAGCCTATCATGTAGATGATGTCATGGGGGTCATGGTTGAATAAGGGCAAAAAGTTCTCATTATACTTCTAGGGGTCAAAATGGCCAAAAACCAAAAAATTTAAAATTCTTATTTCGGCTATAACTTCGTGTGCTCTTTACTTCCCGCATCCCACTAGTTTAATAAGTAAGCAGGAGTAAATTCTACTTTTTATTTGCTCTCTGCAAAGTGTGAATATTAAAACTCTTAAAAATTATGGTATTACTGTTTGCCGTTGTTCTTAAAATTTTAGAATTACATATTATAGCAGAGACAAGTTAAAAAAAGTGACAGACATGCCTAACGCGAATTCGTAAACATAGTATTTTTATAACTCAAGACATTAAGAGTCTCTACCCTCTCTATACTGTGCACATTAGTTGAAATTAAAAAGAAAATGCAAAAGATAATACTGAGACCATAAAAGTGAGAAAATATATATACATTATATTTAAAAACTTAAATTATAATAAAACGTCAATTCCAGTTCATGGTTTTTTTTCCAACTATCCGCATTATTAGGCATTGGTGGAACTTCTTTCTTCATATATCCCTTCTGTGTAAATACCAGTAAATACTGTTTGAGTAAGTAAGCATTTGACCTTCCCATAAACTACATTATTACGTAACATCCATGCACTTTCTTTAAAAGAATAGGAACAGAAACTTTATCTCATACAAATATAAGTTTCTTTAAAACTTTACTTAATAGTTTATCATTTAAGTTCTTTTTCTTTTGTTCTTCTCCAGCAAGACGCATTCACTGCTAGATCCTAATGTAGACGTTGATCACGGATAATGATATTTTAAAACATCTGAATATCCTTCCTGTCAAAAGCTTGTTTCCGTTTGTTTTTTTTTTACACAATATATTTTTATACATGGTAGAGCCAGCTGCAGCTATACTAAGATTGTAGCACCAATGCGTAGACTTGATCGGGGAAGGACCATGCTCTTCAAATATCAGCGTCAAATATCAGCTTACAGCAACATTAAGCTGTTCGTATGGTGAGTGTAGAGAACCGGAGATCCTATTCAGTAGAAACGAGGCATTCGATCTTAGTCCTCAAGGGTAATAACGCATCTGCATATTTATTCTTAATCTAGGATAGACTTGTCTATGGGCCAGATGATTTACTTACCATCACGTTGACTGTGTGCTCGTTTGTCACCCTCATTCTATAAAAAATATATGTTTATACATTTAAATCAGATGAGAATGATAAATAAATATCCCCCAATATATATTAAATTGTTTTCTTACATAGAAATAGCATGAACAGTTCAGTCCATGAAGTAACATAGTCATATCATAACTTTGTAATGCCAATGAATTTAAACACCGTCTCAGACCAATAAACCTTTGCCCCGCAACATACATCCATAAAAGTAGAAAGCTAGTTGGGCTCATTTAATAAATGTTTTATAGTTTTGTTATTTATAAGGAACACTGTTTTAAAGTTAAGACTAAGTAAATTGAAGTAAAAAGTGAAATAACAGCATATATAAGTCCCACCACTGGGCACAAGCTTCCTTTGGGAGAGGAAGTAGTTGTGCGGACTTCATATCTTTGATATATTTTTCAATATAGCAAACTGTAAGTTTCCTCTCGATTTTTTCCTTTACTGCCGATCCCATAGTAAATAAGCATTTAAAATTGCAATTACAAAATGAAGCTAGTTATTACGAACTTTATCGCGTTCAATTAGCTTATTTATATATTCTCAACATTTCGAGTACTTACAGCACTTATGGGAGGGCTGAGGTGTTCAAAGTCACAGTATCATTGTTAACAACGGTAAACAGACTCAATAAAACATGACAAATTTGAAATTTAAGTAATATATCATGTCAGAGAGTTTTTTGGCTTGGTTGGTTTAATTTTTCCAAAACGATACGAATTTGAGACCTTGAAGAAAAGAGCCTTCTCCATTTCTAAAAGGCCTAAGTATACACTGACTATTCCCAGCGAGTTGTAGTTGTTTATGGGCGGCGATAGTCACTTTATCATCAGGTGAGCCGTGCCATCGTTATCGTATAAAAATAACCAACCAAGTGCGAGTTGGACTCGCGCGTGAAGGTTTCCGTACCATCGTAATACACGTTTCTAGTAGGTCAGCCCCTTTTAATTTTTAATTTATTGTAATTTTTATTATTTGTTGAAACAGTGGCAACAAAAATACACATTCTGTGAAAATTTCAACTATCTACCTATTACGGATCATGAGATACAGCCGGCTGACAGACAGACGGACGAACGGACGGACAGCGGAGGCTTAGTAAAAGGGTCCCGTTGGTTACCCTTTGCGTACGGAACCCTAAAAATGGTCCGCCAATAACCCGATAACCCTCTCAAAAATTAGAAGGTCTGTGCCTAGCAGTAGGACGTATATAAGCTCTAACTTTACTAGGAAATAGAAATTTTCATTCTGCTCGCGAGCACGTGGTAAAATAGCACTTCAAATTAACAATTTTGCACTGCTAGTGAGGCTAAGGGTCAATTAAATTTTAAGATCTTCAATTATTGCCTCGTGAATCCAGTCATCTCTGATTTTATCTCTTTATCATTGGTTATTGGAAACGGTGCAAAGTCCGTACTGTATGAAAGATGCGTTTCAATTGAGGTCATTAAAAGTTCCGTTGCTTTAATCTTTCTTAACTCTTTACTGCAAATTCTAAAAAGGAAATACATTTTGCGTGCTTTTTTTTCGAAGTTTATTACAATAATTTCACATTTCTTCTCAGTCACTTTTACATGCACTGCTCAACTAACGATCATTTGCATGTACCAGAAATCAATCAGGTAAAAAGCTTCAACAATTAATATTTAAGTGCATGTCGAAATGTTACATCTTTTTATGTGGATACCTTTGAGATAAACTGAGGAGATTAAGTATCTGGCTTAGTTACAACTAAGCCAGATATTTTTCAATTATACTGGACTAAAGCACATAATCTGTAATAC